TATATTAACTCATTGAGTGGCAGCATTCTGCCTAGACTTGCCACAAGTCGACCTCAAACGAAACGCAAGCAGTGAGTGTGAGCCAACGTTTCGTTCGAGGTTGACTTGTGGCAAGTCTACATTCTGCCCTTGAGTAAAATTGTCTGGCACCAGACGGAGTAATATACTAAAGTAGGGACATTGCCACTATAATGGGTTAAACAAATTTTTAAAAAATTTGCAATGGTCTATATTCAAAAAGCTCAATTTGTAAATTTTAATTGACTTTAATTAAATTAATATAAATACTTATACTTATAGCTACCTTGCCCCAGTCACTTCAAGTGAATTCTACGGAAGGAGGGGGACATTGAAAATCCCTGGGTTTACTTGTTAAAAGCAAGAATTGAACCATGCATTACATGTATATGGAGAGCAGTTTTAAATATATTTTATCATGCAAATACCTTGATAATTGTTCTTACACGTCTTTGGCTTAGAATGGGTACACCCTCCAAAGGTGCTTATTTACAGGGTCCAAAGGATTAGGTGTAAATATACACTGTCCAAGGTGTTAATTAAATATATAATTAAATTTTATTTAATAAAATGTGGAATATTTTACAAATTGCAGTACCATCCCAAAGTGTACATAATTTATCAATATAATTAGGACTTAGAAGCTGTTCACATGAGTTTGACTCTGACCCAGCACCCTTGGCTTAGCTCCCCTTGCCCGATCACAAGTAGAAAACCTCCAACCCCCTCTGACAAATCAGTCCAGATCTGCCCAAGAGGCAGGATTTTCTGGAATATTATTAGCAGTGCAATTGTTCCATATTTTCAAGCATGCATTGTAACCTGATTTTAAAGCCTGTTTGAACATGAGACATTGTGGCAATGGCAAGATGGTCCAGCCACATGAATACAATCTTAAAATATCATAAAAACAATGCAATTTAAGGCCAGACAGCCCAACTCCTGCGAACAAGCCCTTTATTACACATTTGAAGCAGGCACATGGAATTACATACGAGTATGTGACATAAACCCACCATTGCACAACTTTGTTTGCAACAATGCAAATACAACAAATGCAAATACAATCAAGCTGGAAACAGATTTTATCAGTATTTTGATATATACATTATGGCTCATGTCTAAAGACACCTGCACTTTCATATGGAAATTGTTCTAATATCATCCAAACAAAACACATCAGAAAACTGTAACATCAGCCAAATGAGCAAATCACTTTTTTAACACAATTTAGCAACATGTAGCAACAATGAATGCAACATGTATTAATAGTATCTGAAACAAAACCAAATCACATATTATTCAAAAGTTGTAAACACTGTTGCATATATGATATAACAAAATATCGTCGCATCCCTAGTGGCAACTAACTATAAATTAGGCCAATTTAAACTCAACTATGAAGAATATAAAAAACTAAAGGTCGTGTTTCAGTTTATAAACCCAGACTTTGGTTTTATAAATATAAACATTATAAACGGTATTAAACGCTATACGAAGCCAAATATGAAGGCACATTTTGCCCTAAATACTCGGTCAGAGCCTCAGAGGTGTGTTCTAGTACACAATTAATCTTCTCTCACAGTTTAAAGTGCCTATCTCATGATTGAGGTTTTTACATATTTACCATATTTCGAACATTTTAAGACGATTTGCTTAATATTCTCATAAGCAAAAATTTAATCTTCCTTATAATTTTTGCTGTTAAAATTGGCTAATTTGAGCATTTTCACAAAATGGCCGGGAGAAAGAAACCTGGAAACTAATTACCGGAAGTGACGTACACCCAGGGAGAAGCGAAGTGGCGAGGTCTGAAGTGAGCACTGTTATTACAGTAAATAGATTATGGATAAAAGATACAAATTTTATAAACATGTCTATTTCCCCATCTGATAGCGAAACTTCTGTCGATACCGATAACAGCCAAAATGACTCAGACACTGATTTTATATCGGGATACATCTTCGAGGGTCAAAATAACGACGATGTTGCCAGTGCAACAGCTTGTAATGCAGAGGAGACGAACGATGGCTCTCTGCCTTACAAAGGCGAGCCTATAGCAGATGATGGTTGGCTTGCCAACTACAAAGAGCAAAAACGAAAGCAAGACGAGCGGCGCAAAGAAATGGAAGGTCGTTTGGAGCAACCTGATTCTGTGCATATATGGTAACACGAAAAATGTAAAACAAATAACATTTCTCAAGCGAATACTATATCACTACAGTCTATTTATACAAATTCCTTTTACGATTTTTGTTAGGTGTAAATGTGGTAATTGTAGCACCGAATTGTTGCAAAATAGTAAAGAAGCACAGTGCTGTATGGAGATAGATGGCTGTGTTGAAGCCATAAACAGCAATCAAGTCCTCAGTGAAGTCGATAGTCCACCAAGTTGTGTGACATTTCATCCTGGGTTTAACCCCGTTTGTTTAGAAAGGTTGTGTTGAAGCCATAAACAGCAATCAAGTCCTCAGTGAAGTCGATAGTCCACCAAGTTGTGTGACATTTCATCCTGGGTTTAACCCCGTTTGTTTAGAAAGGTTGTGTTGAAGCCATAAACAGCGATCAAGTCCTCAGCGAAGTCGATAGCTGGTCACTTCGCCAAGCAGGACGAAAGTATCGAAAGATTGACGGGACTAAGTACCATAAGTCAGATTCAGAGAACAGGTAAGATAGATAATATTGTTGGGCATTGACAATACTTGGGTTTTATTTACCGTAATTATTTATATTTCGATTTAAATCAATTGTCCAAAAAAAAATAACATGTTGGAGTTATGGTTGGCAATTCATTATTTGATAAACAAAGCAGTGGTGGATGAAGCAAGGGTTGTGTCCCCCCCCCCCAAAAAAAAAATATTACATCAGACACTTGTATCACTGATCTTTGTTCATAATTTGTTAGAATGGCACTCTATCTGCACTCTAGCAAACGCTGTTTTGTATCCTTGAGAACTTAACTGGTGAATTAATCTTTTGCTCCATCTCCCTCAAGAGCTTCCTAGTGACTTTGGTGCCCCATTGTGCACTCTCCAATAATTATGTTGTTTCCAAGCATTTTTTTACTTTAAATAGTATTCATGAAGTGCATTTGACTTTCCATTATAGATATCTTCGTGCAGTTTCATTCAGGGAATTTACATACCTGGTTTACGGCTACCTGGGACAACGGAGATATCCACTACCTGCATGTGCATATCATGCAATTAGAAAAAAATTTTTGGAAGACAAATATTCTAAATGTTCAGGTTATGATGATGGACAATAGAGACCCACTGAAATTGGACTTTGTCAATCCCTCGAGTGTTTATTGCATATCAAAAGGAATTAAGTTGTTTCAGTCCATGTTTATTACAAATTGAATGTTACCATGTCTTGTGGATTGTCTATGATCTGGAGTAACATAATTGTTACAAAGGAGGTTGTGGTATTTCCTACAAGCACAGTTGAGGACAACCTCGTACCCAGGGTATTTGCTCTTGGGGAGCGAAATACCCTGGTATGGCCTGGTCATGTGACCCACAGATTTTGTGTAAAATGGCGTATTGTTTAAGTGCAAATACCCTGGGTACGAGGTTGTACATTAAAATTTAAAAGCGTGATATAATTACTAGGAGTGACAATGTATACTCACTCCCCCGACCCTAGTAAACAATATGCCATTTTACGCAAAATCTGCGGGTCATGTGACCAGGCCATACCAGGGTATTTCGCTCCCCAAGAGCAAATACCCTGGGTATGAGGTTGAGTTGAGGAAGCCAGTTTTATTGTGTATGCAATTACAAAGTTATAACTTTTATATTGGAATATAAACACAACACACAATATAATTAGTCACAATAATTGTGCATCAGCTGATAAAACAGCTCATCAATTGATCAGCTGAACATTGTGAAATTGCCAAAATAATGCACTTCTACTATTCCACACTGCTATTTTGATTCCTTGTACATCCCACAACAAATTTGTGTCCCTTCATTGGGTGCCCACAGGATTTACACCGAGGCTTTTATCTTGTTGTCACTGCCACATGCTCTGCAACCTCACAAACTACAAGAATAAAACACATACAATATACATAGATTAGTCCTGTGTGAAATATGTACCAATTAAGATCTATGCTGTATATGATCCCATGTTGCATGCTTTCTGTAGTGTCTGTCTGTACCATTGTAGTAAAATTAGGCAAAGGTTACAACTCAATTTTTACTGCAATTATATAAAAATACAATTTAAAATAATTCACCTGTTGCAGTTGCTGGGACATCTTCAATCACCATTTGTTTTCACTGATCCCTTTTTGCTATGGCTTCATCTTTGGGCTGTTTCTCCAGCATGGTGTCCATAGGCGATGGAGTTATTTCTGCCAGAGCTTTGGAGGCACATTCATGGTCATCTTCAGTAGACTGTACAAATGTCTCGAAAATATCATCTACATAATCTTGAAACACAACATGTCCAAAGTTAGAAAAAATAATTGTAAATTAACCCATTAACCCTTCAAGTGGCAATGCACCCTGATGCACCCTACTTTATTTTTTTACTCTGTCTAACACCAGATGATTTTACTTGTCGTGCCACTCAATGGACTAACTGGCAGTACACTACTGCTGATGAGTAAAATCATCTGGCATTAGACTGAGCAAAGTAATAAAGTAGGGTGAATCTGGGTGCATTGCCAGCTAATAGGTTAGTATAATGTATGTTATAAATGAAAAAACAAGTTTGACTCTCCAAAGTTTGGTTTTACGGTGACATTCCTGACTGTGGCTTCCCCATTCTTAAATTTGGGGTAGACAATTTTAAGCTGTTCTGATCCATTGGGTTTTTTCTTAAAATCTCTGTGTAAATTGTGGTTGAAATGTATTGCTGACAGAGCATGTCTACAAAAATGAAATAAACTTTAGGTTTCATAAACTATTTCTACAGTAGATATAAAAATCCTACGAAAAACTGTAACTGCAGACTGGGATGAGGTGGGTATGGCTACCATACTGAACACCGGGGAGATGCAGTGATAAAATTACAGTCAACATTCTGTACAGTGCACAGTATGCTCACAATTTAAAAATCAAGGAAATTATAACATAAACAACTAACCTGCAATTCATCCCAGGAAATTTAAACACAACCATTTTGGGGGCAAAATGATTTAGGACAGAGTGAAACCCTTCCAAAATACTTGTTGGTGAGTGTGGAGATGCCTGCATTATTCCACTCTTGATGCTCTTTTTTGTCAAGGCTTTACATACTTCATCATAAACAGCAGAATCTAGAATAATACTTGTGTTAATATAACCAGTGTACAGTATGCTGTGTTATTGGTGTAATGTACTCAGGTGAATAAGATGTTTGTGTGATGTTACTCTGAGTGTATATCCACACCGGGCAGGCTTGAAAAATATGCCTGGCCACGGCGGGATTCGAACCTACGACCTTTGGATTACTAGCCCAATGCTCTTCCAACTGAGCTACGGGTCAGGACGGTTCGAGTAAGCTATATTTCGGAACCGAGTCTAGTTCCTTCGATATCAGTGTAATCTAATATTTATGAAATCTGCTGTGTTATTGGTGTAATGTACTCAGGTGAATAAGATGTTTGTGTGATGTTACTCTGAGTGCATATCCACACCGGGGGAGCTTGAAAATATGCCCGGCCACGGTGGGATTCGAACCTACGACCTTTGGAATACTAGCCCAATGCTCTTCCAACTGAGCTACGCGGTCAGGACGGTTCGAGTAAGCGGTATTTCGGAACTGAGTCTAGTTCCTTCGATATCAGTGTAATCTAATATTTATGAAATCTGCTGTGTTATTGGTGTAATGTACTCAGGTGAATAAGATGTTTGTGTGATGTTACTCTGAGTGTATATCCACACCGGGCAGGCTTGAAAAATATGCCTGGCCACGGCGGGATTCGAACCTACAACTCGAACCGTCCTGACCGCGTAGCTCAGTTGGAAGAGCATTGGGCTAGTATTCCAAAGGTCGTAGGTTCGAATCCCGCCGTGGCCAGGCATATTTTTCAAGCCTGCCCGGTGTGGATATACACTCAGAGTAACATCACACAAAAAACAGTGTACAGTATGTTACCCACTATGACGTTTCATTGCACTATTTAACTATTAAGACCAGGATGCTTTGCAGGTATAATGTACCTTGCAATTATGCTTGAATGTTGGAAATGCATGCTTAGTAAAATAGTGCAATAAAATGTCATAATGGGTAAGGTCAATTCAGAATGATTATGAGCCATTTGAACAATGACCTTTTCTTATAGTACATTAATTCATAACAAAATACTGTATCAGTATCTTTACTACAACAGTAGTAAAACAGCAAACATCTTTAAATAGCTCATTAACCCATTGAGTCGCATTGCACCCTGATGCACCCTACTTTAGTATTTACTCTGTCTAACGCCAGACGAAGTAAAACAGCAAACATCTTTAAATAGCTCATTAACCCATTGAGTCGCATTGCACCCTGATGCACCCTACTTTAGTAATTTACTCTGTCTAACGCCAGACGATTTTACTCTGTCTAATGCCAGACGATTTTACTCGTCAAGGGGAAAGCGCTAATGCCAGACGATTTTACTCGTCAAGGGGAAAGCGCTGGCGCTTAATGGAGGGGAAAGCGCTGGCGCTTAATGGGTTAACTGGCCTATCTGCCCATGTGTCTAGTTATCCCAATGAGTCACATTGCACCCTGATGTACCCTACTTTAGTATTTTACTCTGTCTAACGCCAGACGATTTTACTCGTCAAGGGGGTACTTAATGGGTTAAATGGCCCAGGGAAAGGAATTTGAGACATACTGCATAAATTACGTGTTTGTGAAATGTAAGTGTCTATGTGTTAGGTGGAAATTGCTAAGTTGATATTTAACAACCTTGCTGACAATCTCATTTCAAAAACATGTATTCATTGTTACTCCCAGTTTCCAACTATTCTGTACATTACATATATACCTTCAAGTAACCATTTCCTGTCTGTGATGTTTTCTTTATGAGCACACCTGTTGAACCGTTGTTGGTAAGGTCTTCATGTTTGTCAATGATATGGCTAAAAAATTATAGACTAACTTAGCCCAAATAACCTGTCCATCACCATTTAGTGTGGTGGTCGCACTCCTATACAAATGATTTGCACAAGGCTTAATCCATTCTAAGAGACAATCATTCCCTTTCTTCTTTGCAATTTTCTGCAAGACCTTTTGGACTTTTATACACAGTGTCCCATAATAATAACCACTCCTAGAACTTCTATGGTATATATGAAAATGAAAACATGCCATCTGTTAATTTCATCTTACTTTTTGTAAGATGCCAAAGATCAAAGTAGTGAACGACTTTAAGAAGTTGCTCTCTCATGTGTTTCTTTATCGATGTATGTCTATCAGAAATGAATATTGTCATATTCAACTCCTCTGTAAAGACAAATTCCATACACCTTTGAAATCTTGATACTCCATGGCCTGGCTTCTTCCTGTTTCATTTCTCTTCAATTAAAGGAAAAATACCTTTTCTCTGCAATCTGACTGTATCATTTTTTTTCTTCTGGCAGAAAAACTGCCAAAAAGCTTTATCGAAAACTATAAGGTTCATGAACAATTTCCAGCTTTCTGGCTGGCATTTAACAACTGATAGCCTGAAAACAGCCCTACTTAATGCATATGCTACCTTGCAGGTTTCAGGTGGACTTGTTAGGGCAAAATACTATATCTGTGTTTATTATTAGCATGACAAAATTACTGGATGCTGATTGGTTGAGAGGAGTACAATTATTTAATTAATTGTACTGATTTTCCCAAAACAAACAAAATGGCAGAAAGGTATTTTAAACACAAACGTGAACTGAAATTGCCCCTGAGGAACTAGATGAAAATACGAACAAAAGCAGCAAATTTTGCTTTAGCAAATGATTTTCCCAAAACAAACAAAATGGCAGAAAGGTATTTTAAACACAAACGTGAACTGAAATTGCCCCTGACCGAACTAGATGAAAATACGAACAAAAGCAGCAAATTTTGCTTTAGCAAAAGAACTAAATGAAAATACGAACAAAAGCACCAAATTTTGGTTGAAAGTCTGGCAGGACTGTTGAAAGTCTGGCAGGACTGGGCTTTGGCGAGAGAATACTGTATGATGTTCACATTGAGAAGTATGTATCCAATTTTGTCATACTAATAATAAACAAGTAATCATGTGATGTTGCTTGTACAAAATTTCCAAACATCACTATTAATATTAATATTAATATTAATCCCCAATTGTACTTGCCATTGCATGATTACCTATACTTAAAGCTACAGTAGACAACTGCATGACACAATTATTCTGACAAGGCAATTCACCAACATGTACTTCCAGCCATACCTGGACAAGGCTAAAGTGTATAACCTTAGATGTTGTACAGCAAAGAATGGTATATGCACAATATTTGGCACTATGGCCCATACTATCGTGCCGACCATCCCCCGCTCCAATTATGCCTTTTTCATTTTCCTTCTTTATGTCTGTCACTATCTGCTTTTGGTACTTTTTCCAGTGCATACAGATAACAGGAAAAAGTATTTCCTAAAAATATACAAAAAAAAGTTGAAAGATTTTACACTTCAATTTATTTGATAGATCTGCTAGAATTTGGAACCAACCAACTCCAATGAGTAAAATTATCTGGCGTCAGACATAATTAGTTGCATAATTCTTATTAATATTTAACCAATATTTAACCCATTGAGTGGTAACACTCTTCTCTTGACGAGCAAAATCAATCTGGCATTAGACAGAGTAAAAAAATAAAGTAGGGTGCATCAGGGTGCATCAGGGTGCATTGCCACGTAAAGGGTTAATCTTCTCAATGGGGGAGGGGGGGGGTGTCTTGACCAAGAAGGAAATAAACAGTCAAATAATCATTGAATAAAAAATATATAGCTTACACTTTGATGACGGAAATAAGTAGACAATGCAATGCAAGACAACCCCATATGCTCAAATATCCGCAAAGTTTTTGAAGGTGACCCACCAGCAACAAGGATTGCGAATGATAAAAGGAAGTTCCCAGCAGGGATTTTGGTACCAACCATACTTGGTTGACTATCCCACACATTTGACCCACAGCCTTGATTAGGACACATTGTCACAACTTTAGCCATTGTACCACAATGCTGTACATCAACCAGTGGCTTAGGGCTTCTGCATAATGGGCAGATTTGAAACAGCATCATTAATTGAGATAAACATACAATGAATTTGGGTTCTGTTCGCATGTTGTAATCATTGACATAAGCTCTAGAAAAATTAATAGATAATTAATGTATAGATATGACAGCAAACAAGTTATACACAGTGGGCATATAGGCTATTTTGTCACACTTATAGGACTAATGTCAATGGGTAGTATCTTGGTTGAATGTTCATTTGCCAACAAAGATGTCATGCAATACTAATCGTAACCATAGGCTGGTAAATATAAATTGTTTGGTTAAACATGTTAATTAAAGTCATTTATACCTATCTCCTTGGGATGAATCTTCTCCACCAATTCTTTACCAGACATCTCATGCTCATCTTGAACACTGCTATAGTCAGGAATGCTGCTATAGTCAGGAATGCTGCTATAGTCAGGAATGCTGCTATAGTCAGGAATGCTGCTATAGTCAGGAATGCTGCTATAGTCAGGAATGCTGCTGACGTCAGGAATGGCAGTAGTGCTGGGAGTATCACATTTCTGGGTTTCACTCTCACAACCAATGGTGGCTGATGTATCTACAACAAACACATTTTATTTTTTTATGTTCAGTGACTATACACACTCTGGTGAAGATGTTTTTTCCATATATTTCAGACATTCACAGCTAATTGGAAGTCACTTATATGTTAATTTTCTTATCTCCATAAACCAATAAAAATGATGCAGTAAAAAATACTTCTACCAAGTGTTATAGTACTGGCCTAGGATTGTCAATTTTTATATCCCTATGCCCTTACTTCATTCTGGAAATGCCCCCCATAACCCACCCCCCATATATTAAAGACATGCATAGATTATTACCTTGGTTAGATAAATGTAACTTTAATTTTTCTTTTATGGTAATTAATTCGTTGTGAAGAAGACGCTTATCATTTTCCAGTTTCTGACAGTTAGTACATGTTGGTAGTGACTGAGTTTGAGTCCAAGCTTCTTTCATGGTAACAGGAGCAGTTTCTATATCAGCTGGCATCTAGAACAGCATAAAAAGATACTTAAAACTTTATAATTGTTCTCATTACCAGTGGCAGAACAAAATTAGAAGTTGACAAAATATTAAAATATACGTTTAGAATATTAAGTTACTATACCCATTTGCCATGAATATATTAAAGCACTCATGTTAAATACATACTTCCATGTCCATGACATCTGGGTGTTCCTGGTCGATATTTTCCGGGTCTGTCACTTGACTTGTTTCGCCACTACTCTGAGTTGACGACTCACCATACTTTGCATGAAAAATCTATATAAATTAAATATATACATCTAAAAAAATGTTTATTAATTAAAGGTGTAAAGGAATTTTGGACGAAGTACTGTATCTCACCTTGCGGCGAATATCTCTTTCCATCTCTTTTGGCTTTGTCGACGAGGACAAGTAAACAGATGGACACACACTGATTCCTATTTCGTCTCTTTTCAATCGAGGCATATATTTCATGTTTTTTTCTTCCGAACCAAGGACAAAAAATTTCCTTTGAAAGTCATCTTCTTTAAAATGCTGCGAGCATGTTGACGATGTCGTCCCAGGTGTCCATTTTAATCTCTTACGCTGAACGAAATCGATCCACTTCTTTCGTCTTTTCCGAGCTTCTTGTCGCTCATCATCCACGAATGGTATACAATGCAGCACAATATCCTTTTCGAGGTTCGGTTCATTAGAACAGCCATACACAACACACCTATTTGGCATTTTTTAGCGAAAAACACTACAATGTTTTCCTATAGTTTATACATTTACATGATATGCGAGGTTTTCTCTTGAAAGCCTCTCCCTGGGTGTACGTCACTTCCGGCAAGTACTTACCAGGCTCTTTTCTCCCGATCGTATTTTCAATTAGCCAACTTTAACAGCAAAAATGATAAGGAAGATTAAATTTTTGCTTATGAGAATATTAAGCAAATCGTCTTAAAATGTTCGAAATATGGCAAATATGTAAAAACCTCAATCATTAGATAGGCACTTTAAAACAAACAATAATACTAACCTTTGACAAATTGTGTATAAATCTTATCGAATTTAACCATTTTGCCACAGATTTTGCCAAAAATATTTCTTAGACGGACAAAGTATTAATAATGGACACTCCTTGCATGAAATGTTAATTTATCCCAAAGTTTGAATAAATTAATCCAAGATTGCATTATTTGCATAATAATGTCTTGTCATTGACCAATCAGAACACATAGAAGACCGGACGGTGCCAGGGCCTTTTCCCGCCTTCCCAATGACAAAAAGGGAAAAGCCCTGGGAACGAGGTTGTAACATGGCAAGACGCTTCGGAATCAAGAAGACTCTTGATGAATACAAATGACGTATTCTCCGGATCAACCAAATTTCCATCGCCAGTTATTTCAATATGTTTACCAAGCACCCATGTATTACTTTCTGGTTGTCGACCAATACAGCTTGCTGCCTTGTAGGTGTCTCTCCTATTGTTAATGCGACATTTTCTATAAAATGAAATGTATCTTGTATTATACAAAACACGAGGTGCATGTGTATTATAGTGGTTTCGAATACATAAACGAATGAAGAAATAAGGTTAAACCTACAAATGTAGTTAATTTATATATAGCTATGGTGCCTATGAACGTTGTTTATCCCCATGGTATCAAAACAACAATAGCATCAATGAGTTGAAAAAAGTTATTTAATTAAAGGATTGGATTAGATTAATACATAAGGGCTCAAGGTTTAAAAACAGGTGTTTTGAGATCAATATTTTCAGCTTTCGAATCAGCGCATATTAGGGTACGTATACAAGATTTACTACATGAAATATACCTGAAATAGTTTTTCATTAGCCATTTAAAAAAATTCGAAACTCCAGTGGTTCCAAAGTACTCGTAAGTACTCCTGATCCAAAAGATCGGTTTAACTCTTCCACAAATTTTCCAGGTCCTCCGGTCATTACTCTTTGGAGCCTGAAGAAACATTCCCTAAAAAGTATAATATTAAATAGGACATCCGTTCATTAGTTCCCTTTTACAAAGTGATCACTGAGATTTTTCCTGTGCTATCTACATTCAAAGAGATGCATCGCTTTGGATCGCCGCACATGCGTGTATGGTCCAATGGATAAAATCTGAAAGGTATTGACCTTTTTTTTCAGTTACTTACTACTTAGATAATTAGTTCGGTAATAGCAAGTTGACGAAGTATGAATCAAACATTGGTCACGTGCATGACACGAAAACTAGAAACTGTCAAAATGAACGCAAGAAATGAAAAGAGCAGGTCAATATTAGTAAAAGCCCAAAGTTCAGCTAACAATATATGCAAAATGGAAGAAATGGCATTCGAAATGTATTCGACCCTTGCAAATGGCAAGATTTTGTCCATAAAAATCCCCAGAAAATTTTCAATCTTTACATTAAATTACAAAATAGATTGAGTATATTTAAGCTTCGAACTCTTACATTATTATGAGGAATTATTCGATATAGTGGGAGATTGAAATAGTGAGAGTTGCGTTCAAGCTAAATAACTTGAAGCTTGTGCAAAAAGTTTCACATTTATTGTGTTATGCAATGTTCGAAAGGCTTACCACATCCGCATGAATAATGAAAATGAATAGTTTATATGTTTGATGCATGCAATGGTTATTCAGGGCCGTCCTCAGGAAATTTTCCAGGGAGGGTGTCAGGTCATTTTCAACCGACAAGTAAAAAATTTTTTTCTTGAACAAATTATTTTTGGCGACCTAAATAAACTCTGTGGTCGGTTATTTCCTGTTGTGGACTATCAAGGTCCAGACAATTTAGAGATAAGCAGTAGCAAATGATGCCGCTGGCTCAAACACTTTGTGAGGTCCACTGCCATGCATATTTCAAGGGGATTAACTTTTAGTTCGAGATAAAGTGAAACAAGATAGTTGGATTCCACTGTAATTGTAACACATCCTCTAAACATGATGGAAAAGCCAGACGCATGATGGAAAAGACTGAGTCTAAGTTAAAAACGAATGTTTAACCACTTTTTCAACAAATGTCATATACCCTATTTTCCTCCTTCCAGCAAGGCAACAACTTGTCAGTTGCATCTCAAAACACCTACCATGCAGCTATGAGTTCAGGTAAGTTGATGACGTAAATTTTAAAAGCATGCGTCACACCCCAGGCTAAAGCAAACAAAGTTTGCAAACAGAATGCAGTTAGCAAGCTTTGCAATGGTTCCATTTTATTATCTAAAATAATTCGTTTGAAAGAAATGGTCAAGTTAAATCAACAAAGGAGTGAGAAGGTAAAATTGTTCTTCTATATTTAAACGATAAACAAAGTATTGACCATTGTAATACTTTTCTTTTGTTGGCACACGAGTATTGCAAATCTTATGAATTAAACTGTCACAAACTATTATATTACAAGACACAAGGCATATTCATACAATTAAGTGTATTCACAGGATTGTTCAAAGGATTGTTAGTACACTAGTCACTCTTGTTGAGAACAGACTTTTTAATTATGCGACGTAGGAGTTCACAAAAACACTCTGGAAATAACCACACTGAAAAGGGTTTGCATGCATACAGCCTACATATGATTGCCAATGGAATACAATGTAAATGTCAAAAGTGTATCGGCCCATACCAACCGAACGTGATTAGACAACACACACAACGCAAATTTTCAGTTTATTTTTTTTTATTTTCAATTAAATCGTCAACAGATAAAAATTTTACAAGATATGCAGACCAAATAGCTTAACTGGCTTAAGTGGTTCCGATCTGAAAAGCATAGAACAGTATTAAAGTTCAATGTCAGTGAAAATTCGCGTCCAGTCTGTATGGACTTTACATAGCAGGGACATTGTAGTAGGTGACAATAAAATCCAACTTCGTTCCCAGGGTAGCCTATATGAACGACATGCGTCCGTTATTTTTTGCGCATATATTGGCTTGCTGTGTTAAAATTTTTATGTTTGGTTTGTTGTTACAAGAAAAGAACTAGGTGTAATACTGATTGTTGTAATATTGAAACTTTGATAATGTCAGTGTACAATTAAATATAACAAAAAGCTGGCGTACCCGTTCGTTTAAACTTTAGTATGCATAAATAAAAATTCGCAAAAGCCCAAATAGCAGTCCTACTGGTCCTAGGCATTTAACTAAATTTAATACATGCATGTTATACGTTTTTATAGAAAGACAAAGAGGAACCGCAATAGATTGTGGAAATATGGAAGACAACATTTAGTCTTAATAAGCGAAAAGTTCAACAAGTATAGTAGGAAAATGTCTTTTACATTCATTAACATTTGTTTAATTAAATAAATGTATCATTACCAGCAGACGATTCAAAGTAATATTGTATATTAGCAGCCAATAAATTTATATCAATGACAATGTGTTATGCAAATTATATGTAGCTAAAAGAGGATGCATGATATAGATATAAATATTATGTGAATTTGTCAAATTAAATATGAAATATTACGATGCATTTATTTATTAATGTTAATACCTGGACTGTTCCCTAAAAGAACAATATATCTCACAAAGACATCCACTGTCACCACCAGCATCAATGTGCTTCAGTATCTCGATCAAGAAACTACCCTTTTCGACATACACAACTCGCCCATTTTTGTCCGTGTTCTCAATTCCGAAATCCTTCTCTCGCATAACGAAATTGTAACAGAGGCCATTCTAAAAGATTAGTTTCTACCGACGAAATAAACTGAGAGCGTTTGTAGAAGCGACCAAAGAAAGCGAACGTGCACAATGCAAATTTGGCGCTCAAAACCAAATCCCGCTTTTTTGCTTTGCTATTACCATAAAAGGTAAAGGTGGACTTATATGGAAGTAGACTCTCACCCAGACCTGCGCCCAGAATTTGTCCCTAGTACTATAGACTACTTAATTCTATTTAATAATTCAGAAATCAGTTTTTGCATGTTGCACCAATTTTGTTTGCTCACATTACTTCACCATGTCCATGATCTTCGCATTTAGGGTAATTATAAAACAAATAAAAGGTGTGAAATTCAATTAATAAGCAAGTGCATTTATAAAATATTGAAAGAACACAACAATAAAACGCTAGCCGGGATAAAAGGAATTTGAACATGAACAATTTAAAGTTCTTTAATTAAAACTGGTTAGAAATGAATATCTAATGGAGCAGAAATATTCCAAGTGTAATATGGATATAAGAATATCACAATTCGTTGTAAGGTTTAAAATGATTGGACAAATACAAAGACATCATTAAAGTTCAGTGTTCCAAGGGCAACTCTGATCTCACATCGAGCGTCTGTTAGATTCGGCTATTGCCCTCGCAGGAAATTTTGTATTCTTCTTTGGGTTATTTGTTCTGTAAAAAGTAAGTGTAGATTAGATTACATGACAGGGTAGATATATGATATCCTAATCACATTTATTGCGATACAAAATCTTTCACACGTTTGTATCTTGAGTATAAAGAAATACGTATTCTGTACATTTGTAGATAAATTCATCATATGAACTTTTCCTTGTGTGTCGTTTCCCAAACAGATATTACAGAGTTAAATTAAAAGCCTCTTTTTTTAAAATTAATTTAAGTCTCTGAAACACAGGTGACTATAGAGTGGACATAATTGTGTTTGATTATAGCAACACCAATTAAATTATTAAATTTACCAATATGTATAAGCAATTTCGTTCAGACTATTTGTGACCCAGTGTATAGAGTGGACATAATTGTGTTTGATTATAGCAACACCAATTAAATTATTAAATTTACCAATATGTATAAGCAATTTCGTTCAGACTATTTGTGACCCAGTGTTACTATTTGTGACCCATTTTTACTATTTGTGACCCATTTTTACTATTGTTACCGTTTATGACCAATTTTTACTATTTGTGACCCAGTGTTACTATTTGTGACCCATTTTTACTGTTTGTGACCCAGTGTTACTATTTGTGACCAATTTTTACTATTTGTGACCCAGTGTTACCATTTGTGACCCAGTGTTACCATTTGTGACCAATTTTTACTTTGTGACCCAGTGTTACTATTTGTGACCCATTTTTACTATTTGTGACCCAGTGTTACTATTTGTGACCCAGTGTTACCATTTGTGACCAATTTTTACTATTTGTGACCCAGTGTTACCATTCGTGACCCAGTGTTGCCATTTGTGACCCGTTACCATTTGTGCCCATTTTTGTAGATACAAGCAGATATATATGCTATCGCAAACGTGTCGTGACCGTACCGTATGTTAGCATAATATAGCCATTCAGCGACGAGCTTATATATTTTAAGCCAATTTAAGCCAATCAGCGATTATGTTACATCGTGTCCGCCATCTAACCTGCGAACGGGCATGGTTTGGCCTCATGTTTATATTCAGGTATTGTTGCCATTTTGGATTAAAAAATATCTTGAATTCGAATTGCTGTTTTTTCTCTCGCCATTCTACTATTAACATGGAAACTTATCCTCATCTGGTAAGCAGTCAAAATGTCAAATACCACATATTTTATTATATACATTTTAATATACAGTAAAACAATCGTTGTGTAATATTTTAAACAGTCAAAACATAGCAGGCAAGTCAGGCAATATTGCCAATGAACAATATTACAATATCAAAGGAAACTAATGTTCTAAGGAGATTTTGAATTAAATCCTGCTCCTGTATTTCTGTAACTCTGTTCAAAACAACAGTCCAACTAAGCTGTCATCAAATGTAGTGTTAGAGCAAAAGTTAAGATGATATAAGCTAAGATACTTATACATTTTGGTTTTACACATTAGAGTATATAAAATTAAACAAAAATTTTATAAACATTTTCAAATGCTAATAAATAATCCCCCACCCTCATTACATTGTCATTTTGCTTTCTAACATGAATGTGTAGAGATTGATACAAGAATGATGAATAAATGTACTGGATATTGGCTGGATAATTTTGTCAGAACAATGGCCACTTGCAAGTCAATCTTACCTAAATTCATTAGTATGGAAAATAACTTATTTTTGTGTGGATATGTATAGGTTATTTTGAGGCAACAAGGGGATATGTGATTTATTCACATATCCCCAAGGTGCCTCAAAATAACATACTTATTTTTCACACTGCGAGGTCGCATTAATGAGTAAGAATAGAAATAATTCTTAATGTCATATTGCCTTTGTTATGTTTTTTTTTCTCATTTTCCTGTGATGCAAAGACATTGCAGGTGAATATTAGAGGGGATTATTCGCATTAATGAGTAAGAATAGAAATAATTCTTAATGTCATATTGCCTTTGTTATGTTTTTTTTTCTCATTTTCCTGTGATGCAAAGACGATTGCAGGTGAATATTAGAGGGGATTATTAATTGCAGGTGAATATTAGAGGGGATTATTAAACGGAAATTGATAAACGGAAATTGATTAGAGGGGAATATTGAATATATAATATATTCCCTGATAAGAACAAAGGAAACCGAGCAGGGTGAAAAATAAGCTGTGTTAAACCGAACAGTGTGGTATATCTAATCATTAACTGTGCACACAATTGGAGTTGAATTATATACTTCACTCATGATCGACCTTCAAAACATTCCCTACTATTCAGTGGTCTTCGACATATGATTGACTCATTGATACAGTAATGCATGTTCCTCAAATAGTTTGTGTATATTACTCAATAGTTAACATTGCCAAGTGTAAACAACAAGTGACAGAACTTTTGCTTCATATAATTACAATAAAGTTTTGAAAATTCAATGAGTATGGATCGACAAGTGACAGTTTACTAAATAGCCGGCTGCCGGCTGTGTACAGCGATGGATTTACTGGGGGGGGGTTGCGCACCCCCTAGCCCTGGCCATAGGTGGTGCAGGGGGGGGTGCTATTTTTCATGATAAAGCAAAAAAGACAAAATGAGATACAGTAATTTGAGTAATAACATGATGATAAGTGAACTGGGAACAATTACAATTCAAATACAGTAGTTAATGGGTGGACGGCACACATGACTGACACAACTCGGCAGTCGGCACCGAGCACCCCCCCACAAGATAATTCTGGATCCATCTCTGGCGTTATAGACACTTCGAATATTGTTAGTATGAAATTTTTATTTCCTGACTGCATAATTATCCATTGCAATCATAGTCATATTATAAAATTAGTTACATTTTCTTGGCGGGGGCAGTTGTCCCTGCTGCCCTCTTTGCTGGTGTACAGCCCTGTTAGATGTGAATTATGTTTGACTTTAAAAATTTATTTGCTATTATATTTATTATAATAAGTGATGAAATATTTTCTCATGTCATCTTTATTATTCAGTTCCTTTCAAGAAAATTCAAAATGTGAATCAAGTTTTTTCGCAGATACATGCACACGTTGCGTACCTAATTTTACTATTTGTGACCCAGTGTTACCGTTTGTGACCAATCTTTATTATTCAGTTCCTTTCAAGAAAATTCAAAATGTGAATCAAGTTTTTTCGCAGATACATGCACACGTTGCGTACCTATTTTTTACTATTTGTGACCCAGTGTTACCGTTTGTGACCAATTTTTATTATTTGTGACCCAGTTTTACTATTTGTGACCCAGTGTTACATTTGTGACCAATTTTTATTATTTGTGACCCAGTGTTACCATTTGTGACCAATTTTTATTATTTGTGACCAATTTTTATTTGATATACACTAAGACTGGATAGAGCATCCGGTGTTCAGAAGTGAAGCCGGAAGTGTGTTGACGGCCGCCATGTTGAATGGCCCCACTTGAAGAGTGAATACTATAGATTTCTACTACAGAATGTATAGTTTTCAACCTAAAAAGCTTGTTTCTATTCTTGGACCGAAAGAACTCTTGTCCTAGGAAAATTGTATATAACGTAGATGTTTCGAGAAGTATATTTAACGATTTTGACACCTGAAACGCAGATAAAACATATGTTTTGCGTCGTCTTAGGGGTGAAGGTACGATCCAGATTCGTGAATTATAGAGACTATGAACATGAAAAGAATTATGGTACCGAGTTGAATTAAAAACGTCTAGCGACAAATCAGAACATTTATTTCGCATACTTGACTAACTATATAGGATACAACATCGATGGTCGCTGTGGAATAGGTGGTAAGTTTTGAATATTTGTCTACTTCATATATGACTTTCAAAATATTATATGTTTATATTCTGTTAGTACTTGAGAGTGTTGGGATTAATATATATCTCATGCAAACATGTACGGTTCGTACAAAAGCTTGAAAGTCCTTGATTTGGACTTAAACAGCTTATTAATTTGAATGGACTTATTACCGACTTCTAACTCCTTCCTCTCCTTGAATTTCCTGATAAATGGGCTATAAAGCTCGTACAAATTCATGACATGATCATGTGTATACTTTGATAAGTCTGTGATTGTGCTGCTGTTCATACAGTAATACACTAACCAGGGTGGAAAGTTCGCTTTTTGTGCGCCGAAGATTTGATGAAGGTTCAGTAACATGCGCCAGTGGCTGTACAAATCCTGTTTTAAACATATTCACAGTCAGTGCTCAATCAAATTCCCGTTATTATTACATGACTGAAATACAAACAGAAATGGTTGAGAACATTGTAGTGTGCATAACTAAATAAATTTTTGTATGCCAGTACGCCACACCGGTTCATTTTCGCATAATTCTGCGCCAAAATGGAGCAAAGTTTGATTTTCCACGTTTGTTTAATTCGGCGCAACCTACAAACTTTCCACCCTGGTACACTAATGATATAAACGAATGTGTCTAATCACTTGTATTTGATGGTTAATTGTCATTGAATTGAGTTTATTGGTGATTAAAAAGAATCAGCTTGTTTAAGTTCTTTCGAATATTTTTTTCTGATAACTTTGCTGTGGTTTCCTTGCCAAGATGGTACAGCCGCAATTTGCAGTAAGACTTCACAATCTCTTTGATTAGTCCAAATACATGGTTATCATCTACTGGCGAGTCATACATATGGTTGTCCAATTCGGTAAATAATGATGATATATGAAGGGTACCCAGAACAGATGTAGCAATCGCTTCAACAATTCCTTTACCTTGGGGAAGCTTTCCAGCATTCATAGTCAACATTCTTTGGAAGCATTTTTCACTTTCTTGGCAAACAATCACGACACTCTCTGAAGGTTTAAATAGATTACCTCGATCTTTCAGTTGCAGGAACTGGGATGATGGAATGATCTTCTGAGAGCCAAGCACATTGCGGCACTTGTGGCAGGGGAGTTTCTTCTTCAAAGATTTTGGAACAAATCCTCCAATATAACATAAGGCGGCTTCTTTGTACTCTGAATTTCTTGCAATGTTAGGAAAATCACAATAGTCATGATCAGATTGCATAGGGGTTCTCTCTTGGAGGTCATATTTTCTTATGAGGGCAGCATCTGTTATCGTGACAGTTTTCCCATTTATGTTGGTGGAATTGCTTACAGCAGATAGGATTTCAATTGGATCCCTCTTCTTACAATTTCCATTCCCTCCATCAATGTGACTCCTCAGAAGAAGACGTTTGTAAGCAGCTGTAAATTGTTGGGTGGTTGGGTTGTTGTTGAAACCTCCAGCAGCACGTACTGCTCCAAAGAATAATTCCAGATGGTCCTGACTCATCTTATAGGTTAACAGATAGTTAAGAGGGGCATTCACTTTTCCAACTAGCTCATGGAACATTTCCTTTGTGCTTTTGATAGCTGTAAGAAATCCAATGAACCAAGTTCTTTCAGGCCACTGATATATTTGTACACCTCATCAAAGAAGGGATTCCATACATGTTTGTTGTTTGCACGCAGTGGTGACTTATATCCTTTAGCAAGGGGATTTCGGGAGTTCAGAATATCAAACAGGTGGTCAATGTGCCGAATAAACTTCACTGTGGCCTCGCTGCCTTGGAATTGTGGTAGCTTCAGGGCTGTTGCACAATATTAACCTTCATTTTTTGTTGCTGCCATTGAATGTGAGCCTTCTTTAGCTTGTTGCCGAGTCGGAGTCCTTCATCATTTTGAAGTTTATGAAGATCGACCAAATATTGCCATAGAATCTTGCCATTATCCTTATCCAAAATAATTGCTTTTTCTGCTAGTGTGTTCCTGACAAGTTTTAGCATATGGCATACATCAAGCAAAACCCAAATTTTCTCATTTTTATTTTGAGGATGAGGGAAATATGGTATCATCTTGGAGGGATCTAGGCATGCTCCAAGTGAAGACAACATGCTGAAATGACATGACGGTCCATCGCAAGTTAGGGATATAACTTTGATTCCAGTATCAGTGAGACGCTGAATGCAGACCTTGACTAAATTTGCCCTCTCTTCGCCGCTCAAACCATTCACAAAGAAGTAGCCACACGGAACCTTCCAAGACCCATCAACACTTACTACCATGAACACCAAGGCGTCTGCTGCTACAGGTAAGGAATCATCATTAATACCATTACCAAGATCAACATAACCATTATATTTCTTCCCATCCCATGATATGTTTCTTTATTGCCATCTCATCCATCATTAGGGAGCAAATAACTTTTTTCCCATTCTTTTCAGCATCTTCCACTTTCACTTTCAACGCATTAAATGCTGGTTGTGTAAACCCAGGGTCTGCTTGAACTTTGCCATACCATCTCCTGATCTGTGATTGGCTAGGAAGAGCAATATTGAAGGTCTTTCTCAAAAACTCGTATGCCTTAGCAGAATAAAACTGCAGAGTGAGTGCAAAGGACTTCATTTCTGGTGTGTATTTGGATCTTTTTCCTGACTTTTTTGCTGAAACTCTTTTCATCAATGCCAATGGTACTCCAGAGAAAGTCTGACTCAACATTTCCTCACAGTTCGATGAGATCAGATTGTCTTGCCTCAACTGTTTTATAATTTGTTCTAGGGATTTTACTTTTTTATTCAGGCGTCGAAATTTCTGTTGAGACACTTTCAATTTCTTCTTTAGTAATGTTATTTTTTTTTCTCTTTTGTTTAGAATTTTCTTCCGTGGAGATTCATGTTTTATTCAGGCATCGAAATTTCTGCTGAGACACTTTCAATTTCTTCTTTAGTAATGTTATTTTTTTTTCTCTTTTGTTTAGAATTTTCTTGCGTGTCATGGTCAGGAGAAGCACGGCCAGGAGGAGCATGCTCAGGAGAAGCATGCCCAGTGGAAGCATGCTTAGTGGGAACTGAATCCAGGCAAGGCTTTTTAAATGGTGGTCCTTCATCAACTTCATTGTCAGGTGCAGCAACTGGAAATTCTTGAGGATCGGGTGTAGGCATATCATCCTTTACTTTGTTTTCTTCTACCATTTGCACCTTTTGAGATTCCACTCTTGGAGTTGGTAGCTTGCGTTTCTTTACAACCTGCAAAGTGTTGAAATTACCACTATATTCTGTTATAAAGAATTGTCCTCAATTTGCAAGATTTTTTAGGGCAAGTTACACCCTCCCTCTCACCAGTCTGATTGCAAATAAAACATATATAAAAAGAGAATGGGACATATTGATCTTTATTGTGACAATGCTTTGCATATGTAAATTTAGTTATTTACCTTTTTTAAATGTTGTGGAAATTTCTTAAATCTGGTAGGTACTGCATCAGGTTTAAGCCTCACATTAAGTAGTCCTGTCCGATCAATATTACTTTCTTTGAAGTGGTCAGAACAGATAACAGAGGAATTGTTTGGTAACCAACCATCCCGGCGAATGTTCTTGATCCACTGCTTTTTTCTTTCTGGATTAGATGGAAAACTAAGAACAAGATTATAATTTTGAATAACAATGCATACTGTAATTTGTTAAAATACACAAACTTCTGTTATTGCTGTTTTCCAATGGTCACCCGTCAATAAATATGTCATACCCTCAAGTTTTTAATACCTCAAGTCTGGACTTGAGCTGGGCCAAACTAACAGCAGGTTTCATATTTATTAGTCAAATATCTCATTGAAGACACTTCTCCAAAAAAGACTTGCAGTGTCTGCATTAGAGAAGTTTGGCTATGTGTATTTTCATGCCACCATGATATAGTCTGTATAAAGCTTCATAAAGTTGTATGATATTGTTGTGTTAGTATCATTGGAAGCATGATAATTGCAACATGCATTGTTTGCGTAATGTTTTAGTAGTTACATTAAATTTGAGGAATATTCTGGTGAATATTAAATTGTTCAAATTAAGCTGCTACAGTTAATAATAATAAAATTGTAATTGGCATTGGTTTTTCAGTTCATTGTTACTACTACGACTATTGACAGCACTTACTAATGAAATGTTCTTGCAAATTTTCGTTTACTAAACGATTCCTCATCACTACTCCCTTCACTGTTACTCCTATCAGTAGACTTTTCTCCAAATTTCCTTCGTTTTGAACAGCCAAACGCGCAACACTGTGATCCACGATGTTTCCCCATCATTTAGAAGGCACTTTTGGCGCGAAAAAGACAAGCCTGGCTGGCAACTCGTGAGCAGTGGCGGCGCCAGGCTTCCAAATTTGGGGGGGCATTTGAGGGGCAAACTCAAATTTTGGGGGGGCAAGATAGAATTTTTATAAAGGTCGCCCCCCAGGAAATTCGCCCCCCCCCTCAAAACGTGGCGATATTCCTAGGAATATGGCCCCCGGGGGCGAATATCCTAGGAATATCGCCTCCCAGGGGGGTGGGGCGAATACCCTAGGAATATCGCCCCTCTTTAGGACATTCGCCCCCCATATATGCGATGTGGTTTATTCAAATAATTTCGTGATACTTTCATCTTATTATTGCCTTACACGTTTGAGAATTTAGCTCTGCAAAACTAAAGCTTTTTTGGCTTTTTTTGAAACGTATTATTGGAGTATTGGCAAGTTTTACCATTCAGAGATTTACAAACTAATATTGAAACTGTAAAAAACAGTTTCATGTATACGCGCATTCACTAATGAGTAATGACAACTTATAAGCCATACATTTTCCGATAACGACAGAACACTTGTGTAGCCTTTAGTCTCTCTTAGTGACTAATAATTTTTTTGAGGGGGGGCAAAAGTAATTTTGGGGGGGCATTTGCCCCCCCTTGCCCCCCCCCCCTGGCGCCGCCACTGCTCGTGAGAAAGCATTTTATACCCATGCAGTGATTTTAACAAGGCCTTGAATTAGGTCTACGATAATCAATGAAAATATATATACCTCTTCTGTTTTTAAAGCTTGTATTTACCATTGATTTGTACTAAATCAGTGGTAATTACGGATTTTTTTATGGAACATGTTTAAAAACACATGGCTGTGCCAGGAAAGTATAAGCAAGTAGTCACTGCAAGACCTGGAACAGTGAGCAGTCTAAACTGATATAACACACAAAACATAATATATTATGACACTCTGTATTATAAAACATTTTTTATTGTGATCCTTTGCATTACTTCAGTGGTTTTTGGTGTGAATTGATCTCCCAAAGTTTGATTAGAATGAAAATACATATGACAACCAGTGATGACAACAAAATTTGAGTTGAAAAATATTTTTAATGAATAATTAAAACATAATAACATTACATAGTGTATCAATTATAATTATCCTCTTGATAATTCCTTCTAATAGACACTTCCCGAATTTGCTTGAGTGCACACGAAACAATAGCTTGGAATCGAGGCGGACAATGTAATCCATTGGAAATAAGTATAGTTTTCCAATGGATTACATTGTCCGCCTCGATTCCAAGCTATTGTTTCGTGTGCACTCAAGCAAATTCGGGAAGTGTCTATTGTGTCGTCTTAAGTACACCTGGAAAATACAAGATACTAGTTTTAGAATATAAATTTTTCAGATGTCTAAAGCAAATTCGCAACAAAATTAAAACACATGATTTTATGATAATATTTCATCTTGCATTTCACTGCAAGCAAAATTTGAGAAATGCAGCACATTAGCCAATGGGTTCAATGAAATGAAATCTTCTTAATAATTTAATAATACTTTCAAACCAAACACTTGGCAGTGTGCAAACCAAACACTTGGCCAAACAAATTTGCCAGTTCTCAATATAATGTAAAGTTAAAAGTCAAATCTGATCACAGTAAGTTAATAAAAGTACATCGCAAATCTGCCCGCACAAGTTTATCGAACCTATTACTGTAATCCCTCAAAAATTTAACAATTAATAAAGTTGGATTACAGTGTAATCTGTTTAGTAAGTATAGTGTTTTGGAGGTGAGTCGCCGGTTCTGACTTCACGGTCATTGTGGTCGAAAAATTGTAGATTATTTACTTACGATCTAGTTTCTTCAGCTCTCAAATGCCTTTCATACATCTAACATGTCTGCTTGTCCGTAAAATACCAGATTTCTTCGCATACACCGTCAGTATGAGACAAAAACCCACAAAAATGGCATTTTCCCAATAGAAAAGTATATTACTCACTCCTCCAGTGGACCAGTGGGGCCATTCAATATGGCCGCCGCTCTCAAAACACGGCTCACTTCCGGCTTCAATTTTTGATTGGGCCTTCTATTACGATGCTCTATCCAGTCTTAGTGTATATCAGTGCTTCGAAGCATGTGCGTTGGTTATGCGCGTGCGCAGTGCGAGTTTGGGTGAGTTGCGCATGCGTATTTGCTATCAAAACAATGGCGGTTCGAGTATTTCGAAGCGCGAAAATGTCAAACTTTGGAGGGATTTTTCTCCCAAATGTGCACCTGTTTCGCTTGGGGAGCAACGGATTCTGATAAAGTAAGTTTTCATCTATTTATTCATGTGAAAATTACGTAGTTACACGCAACCTCGTACCCAGGACTAGTCGCGAATTGAAGGCGGCGACATAGCCCTGGTAAACGCTGGTCACGTAACTCCAACATTACGTAATTGTTACTTTTCTCAACCGGGGGGTGAATAGGTGAAACTCGAAGACAAACAGTTTTTATCTCCGAAATTCTTCAATCTTCCTTCTAAATTTTGCACTTCAAGCTTTTCTCAAAGTACGGCGATCGATCAAATGGATCAATACTTTCTGTAGAAAAAACTCAGTGAGATTTGTTCGTATGAGACGTTTAAAAGACACGGATATGTCGCCAAAGACGCTCGATCATTGCACAGGTTTATGGAATAGTACTTTGTTCAGTTTGTTGCGACTTGCGAAGCAAATGAATGCAAATTCAACTCTTGTATAATGACTAAAAGTTGATTTGTAGAGGGACAACTTATACAAAAGATATGAATACATTAGCTTCAAACTTGGGACAAGTTCATGGACAATGGACATCCCTAATATATGGACATTGACATTTCACCAATATGTAAATATGACTATTAAATATATAAAAGGATTGCTGTTGTATTACTTGTATATGTATATGTACAAGTGTTGTGCTGTGGTATCTATGGACTAGAATTTCTGAGGGGGTTGAAAAAGCCGTTTCTGAGGGGTTGTGTGCATCGGCATCCTTTGATCTTTGCATTTTTTCTGAGGGATAAGGCAAAAATTTCTTAATTTCGGGGGGGGGGTTGGTGTCGGCACTTTGATCTTTTTTTATTAGGGGTTCAAATTTTATTGAACTCGTCCATAGGGGGTGTATACATTAATTAATGGAATGGCCCAATGCACCCAGATGCACCCTACTTTGTTAGTTTACTCTGTCTAACGCCAGACAATTTTACTTGTCAGGTGGAGGGTGCATGGCGCCACTCAATGGGTTAACATAGTCGATGAACATGCCAAATGATCCTTGACCGTGGTAGTACATTTTTGCACTTGCTGGATGATATTGCAACGAAGCATTGTTTCAGAGGAAGAGCCCTGAGATCATGCTGTGTAGCAATTGGAATCTCGCATAGAGCCTGCTCTCACATAAAGCAGGCAAGACCTTCACTCAGAAGCCAGTCCTGATTAATATTAATTCCCCACATAAACACTTGGAAACCAGACTGTTCCATCTGCCATATGCAGGTCAAAAAAACATGCAGCCTGGACTTTAACTGTTAAACAACCAAATCAGCATGATAAACAGTGTGATGATTTTTGTTTAGCCCAAACCAAAGCCAGGTTTCTAGAATTAATTTGCAGAATCCTAAGAATTGGACCTCCAACTTGAAGAGCTAGCTGTGCTAACCAAGTTGCATGGGCAACCCTGAATTGACGTGACTAGAGCAAACCTTCAAAAAATAATAGAGAGATCAGATTTGACTTCCACTGCTGTTATTGCTACCATTAACTAGATAAGTTTCATTTATCCAATCAAACAATTGGATGCAACTGCCAGATCAAGTAGTGGTAGTGGAAGTCAAATTTGAACCTTTCTATATGGATTTCAGAGAGACCAGTCATTATTTGCTGATATATTATTATAACTAGTTTAATCAAAAGCTACTATATATTAATTTATGATATTAAAAATTGATATAATTTTATCTATAAAGTGAGAATAATTTTAAAAAAATATTCATAACATAAAATGATTCATGCATGCTGGTGATTGAATAAACCATGAAGTGTGCATTCTGAATCTCTACAAATTCCTTGACATTATTTTTCCAGTACAGTGTAAAACTATATATATAAATGTGACACAGGTTGCAGGTATTAGGTTGCATGTCCACCAGTGTGCTGAAATACCATCCAGTGACCCGGTCTTGTTCATTGTTACTTGCATCTTGCTTAATTCAACTGTTTTTGCCCCATTTCTTGTACCCATAAAGTTCTTCTCAATAATCTAGAAAACTTCAAAAACATTCAGTAAATTTAATTTTAAAATTGGGTGAAAGGTAAGGGGTCAATAATAGATGAAGAAATCATTTCTTATTGTTCATACACGGCAGGTACAAAACGCAGGTTGCAGGTTGCAGGTTGGAATTAAAATTGGGTGAAAGGTAAGGGGTCAATAATAGATGAAGAAATCATTTCTTATTGTTCATACACGGCAGGTACAAAACGCAGGTTGCAGGTTGCAGGTTGGAATAGGTTGCAGGTTGGAATTTTGCAGGTTGGAAATTTTGCAGGTTGGCATTTTGCAGGTTGGAAATTTTGCAGGTTGGCATTTTGCAGGTTGGGGATTTTGCAGGTTGGAATTTTGCAGGTTGCCAGGAATTTTGCAGGTTGATGATGCAATGATGCAAACTTAATTAAAATTACACCACTATAAAGTATTCTAATATAATTTAATTGTTTACTTATTGCAGTCTGACTCCTTGTCGGCACTTTTGCTATCAGTCTATCCTGCTACAATGTTCCTAGCTTCTGCTCTAAGGAGTGGCCATCACCCTTGTGAAAATATTCAAAATGACCAGATTGGCTTGAACCTTCAGGGGGACGGATATTTCGATTGTTGCGAGGAGCCTACATGACGTGGTGGCAGTTCAGAAAATGCCTGAATGAAGTGTCTCTCCTCTGCACCCACTTATGAGAAGTGTACTCAAGGCCCCAATTACCGTATCATTACTCGAGAGTTAGTTAACTTTTAACAACATTCTAGTATAAACGCCGCCAGGTCATGTTGGCACCTCGCAACAATCAAAACATTCGTCTCCCTGTAGGTCCAAGCCAATCTGGTCATTTTGAATGTTTTTTACGGGGGTGATGGCCACCAGCCTTAGAGCAGAGGCTAGGAACATGGCAACAGGGTAGGCTGATTAGCTGATATCAAAAGCGCTGACAAGGAGTCAGACTGCAATAAATGCACAACTAAGTTATACTAGAATACTAAAAAAGTGGTGTAATTTTAAATTTGCATCATCAACCCGCAAAGTTCCTGGCAACCTGCAAAATTCCAACCTGCAAAATCCCCAACCTGCAAAATTCCAACCTGCAACCTGCAACATAAGGGTTCAACAACTCAAAATCTTTAGTCATGCCTGACTTGTTCTTCGAATATTATTGCTACATATAATTGAGCCGGTACAAGCTTGAGACAAATGCATATACAAACACAACAAACGATTACAACATTTCTTAGACCCATCTCAATCAGTCCAATCATGTTTCATGCAAAGTCATGTCAGACTTACACAGGGGTGGGGGGCAAGGGTATTTTCGTGACTCGTGATTAGCAATTATTCGTGCTTCGTGATTCGTGATTTAAAGAAATACCATTCCGTGAATCGTGATTAATATGCGTGCCGTGAATTGTGAAGAGCTAAAAGGCTAGCTATGGTCTTGAATTTACAAATATTTTACCCTAACTTGTGAATGTTTACGTTTAAAACTCGGCCCAAATGTAATATTATGGGGAAAAATTTATAAATTTGCTTCCCGCGGTTGTCTTTCTTGAGGTTTCATCGGTAAACGTCGTTATCGTATACCTTCGTACCTCTCCGTAAACCATCGTACGATGCTCGCAATGATTTCCATTGTCCTTTAAACGGCTCTAATGTTAAAGTCAGTATGTGTTAAATGGTTTCAGACTTTGTTACGCTTCTGTGTTTCTAAAAATCGTGAAAATAAAATTTTGTTTTTCGTGACTCGTGAAATCGAAAAATGATCTTCGTGATTTTGTGACGAAACCCCCCCCCCTACACATATTCTGACTAAATTATGGTTTGAATAACTTGGACTCGGGAAAGTACAGCCCGAGCAAAAAGTTAAATACGCAGATAGCAAAAAATCTGCGTATCTTTTAATCCGCGTACCTTTTAATCCGCGTACCTTTTAATCTGCGTACCTTTTAAGTACTATAGGAAATATTGAAACTAAAGTTAACTTTTTGCAAAATTTTGTACGGTCGTCGGTGGCTACAAGTTTTTTTTGTCATTTGTATATTTAACATTCTTTAGCACTGTAATGTATTAAGTACATTCCATAAGTGCATACACTACTTGAATCGTACTGTAGTTGATTACTATTGTTTGAAACTGGCACTGTTTTAATATTTTAGATATTTTTAGATATAGTGTGAAAATTTGAGAGGAACTTGTGTTTTACATATTAACCTATTTTAATATTCTATAGCTGTAAATGATTTACAGTACAAATGGTTAATATTTTATAATTTGGACTATTTTCTAGCAGAGGCAAACTACCCTTGATGAGATCACAAATAGGTAAACACAGTAATTTCACTTTCCTTTTCATACAGTCTGGTGTGGTCACATAATTGTAACTCTCGTCCGCAGAACGTACAGTATGATCTCAAATACTATATGTCACCACTCACCTATTTTGACTGGGCTAAACTATAGGATATGTCCAGTCATATATTATTTACTACATTTTAATATAAAATTTGAAAGTGTTAGGCACTTTGATACTATGCAAATGATTTGTACAATAGGTCTATTCAGTTTTAGGTTATAGTACTACCTTTGCATTTAGGTCGGAAGACATGCAAGAGACAGACTTGCAAACAATACAAGAAATTTTACCTAGTGCCTCTGCCAGTGACATCGAATCTGCACTGTCGTATGTAAATGGGGATGTTGCAGAAGCAGTGCAACATCTTTTACCAGGTAAGGGTTTTGCTATGGAAATTTGTGAGTGGAATACGAGTAAATTGATTTAACATTACTGCATGTGCAGTTAATAGTTATTGCGTACCATACTGTGTGCCGGGATCACGGGAGTGGTGCGACTATCACGTTCGTAAAATGCTGTATCAAGCAATATCTCTAGGGATACAGTAAGAGCTTTACGGTTTAGTATTATACGCGGGGTCGGGGGGCTACGGGGTATTGGGTGCGGTATAGATCGAAAATTTGGGGTGCGGTAGAAATCGAAATAATCTGAATAGAACTTGGCTCGCCAACAAGCTTTATGCAATAGAAGAAAAAAGCAAGGAGGTACATGTAGCCAACGTGTACCGTCACGGACCTTGTCTTTGTTTGCTGTACAACGCCGTTGTCAATGGTGCAAACTCGTGTTCAGTGCAACGATAACTCTACCAGATCTTACGAGAACAATCTGTAGTAATCTGTACACAGAACTGTATCAAAGCTTGTCAAAACTGCTTTAAATTAAACACTAAACAAAGCCTCTGGCTCTGATTGGCAGTTAAATCAAACCAGCCAATCAAATGCCCAGTTTACAAACCTGGTTGTGAATTTCATTATGAACTTTTGAACTTGGCAACGAATTTGCGAAGTTGGGAACGAAGTTCGGACTCTTATGATGAAAAGTCAGCTGAAATTGACTGTAATGATGTAACGACGTAGTGCTTATTATTCATAACATATCTATACAGCTATTTCAATTATAGTTTTAGATAAATTTAGCATAGCAGTAGCCTCGTGGGGATGCTTTTAGCGACAGCTGCAAATGCAAATGAAAATTTAGAATATGCAAAATTTGGTTGTTGGTGAAACAATTTAAATTTCGAATTGTCGCGTGTAGCATCACAATAAATAGATAAATTGCATTAGTTTCACAAGGCACGTTTCGGGTGTGTTAGGCTTGTTTCAAACGTCGTGCTACTTGTGTACCGAGCGTATTAAAAGCAATAAATAATGAGATGAAATGCCTTTGGTAACTGTTTATTTCGTAGTGTAAGCCATCAGCTTTTCTAGGTTGTCGGTGACCCTATATAGTTCTTGCAGTGTCTTTTTCAATTTCAAACTTCACACTATCCTTGGATCCCTGGTTTTTCTGATTGTATCTCATTTTGTTTATTTTTATATAAACATATATTTCAATCATCGCATGTGTTTACCACATGAGCTATGGTTAAACTCGCCGCGAGGACGTACGTATTTATTTACAATGTACACTGGAGGTTTAAGAAAATAAAAAAACACACAACAATTAAAAAACGGGGGAGACACGTTGACAATTCGTGTTACTTATCTAGCTGTTCCTATCGGTCATATGGTTTTAATAATTGTGTGACTTAAGTGCAGTATACACTTTTTATCATATTATTATCAGTAAATGTTATGTGAATAAATTTAATACATGTACTGTACTTCATGAAGTAGAGTATTGCCGGTCAGTTTCATTGCGTGCGTATAATGCAAGACAGCATGTCGCATGGTTTTTGGATTTTCAAAAATAATATGTATTTGGCTAGTTTCCCTTAGAAAATGTTATTAAAGTGAGTTAAACCATCATTTGTTTTATTTTACCTGCTAAGATATGTCGAAGAAGAATCCATGTAACATACTGTAAACATAGCATAATTTATTTAAATGCGAAACTATTTATAATAAACAAAGAATTTTCAATTAAGAGACAGCGTATCTACTGTGCTTGTTTATTTTACTATGACTGTCTTTTGTATCTTTTATATTTTTTGATCAGATATAGTTAATGTTGACGAATGGCAAGACAATGATGATGATAATCAGTTATTGATTCCTGCATTTGGAGATGTCGAGGAGATAACTTCGCCCAAGGCCACTATGAAACTGTTTAGAAAAGAAAACATTGATGAGGACAAACCTCAGCAAAGGTTATCTGTAAGCAGAATGGATGGGCTTGACCAGCTCAAGAAGGATGTCATCGGAGTATACAAGAACCCAAGCACCAAACTTAAAGTGGGGCTTAGAGTTTGCTTTGAAGAAGAAGATGCGGTTGGCAATGGTCCCGTTAGAGAATTTCTAACAATCGCAGTTAACATTATAGACGAAGGCTTAAGTTCGTCAGGTTCAAAAAAACTATTATTCTTTGAAGGTCAAGTGGACCATCGCCTTCCTGTCCATAACCAGTCATTGCGGGTAACTGGTACATTTAAAACCCTTGGAAAAATACTGGGTCACTCTGTACTTCATGGTGGTCCAGGTTTGCACGGTGTGTCGCCAGCAGTGAAATGTTACATGGAATCTGATAGGAGTACGGCTTGCTCGCAATCATTGCCTGTCACTCTCGAAGACGTGCCTGACCTGGACTTGAGGCAGATGATAGCAGAGGTACAAAGATGCAGGGCTGCTTATCCACAATGTACTGTAGCTTGAATATAACTATGCAAACCAAATTATTTTGTCTTGCCCATATAACCTTTTTTCAATGTTATTAGCCTGCGAACAGGCTCACTGGGAGAAAGGTGAGCCTGCACGGAACCATGCGTTTTATTCAATCATCCCCTTTTCGCATCTGCTTAACGTTAACCAATCAGCGTCGACTGCGATAAATAAACTGTCAACTGTCAAATTGACGCAAGGCTTGTACATTGTGCAACATGAACAATAATACAAAGCATTAGCGGGCCGCACAATATATTACTCGGAAAAATATAGAATTCTTCAAGTATTAAATAGATATCAATACACATACAAATATAAAGCCGAATAAACTACCATTGGCTTTGAATGTACAGTAATACTTGTACTATGTGCGACTGAAAGAACAATGTTCTGAATATTTTAAAGCTATTACTAAAATACGGTCAGATAGATTGGGATTTGGAATACCGAATACGTTTAAAATTTTACTAACTGTGGTCTAAATAAATGATAAATGAGCATGTATTTATTAATTTCTTCGAAATCACGAGTGTGCCAATAGTGGAAGCCGTATCGACGACGAAATTGTCAGCAGTTAATATACAGTAAATAGTACAACGTTTAATGTACGATATATATTTATCTAAATGACATGCCAGCGAGGATCAACAATATAATTATTCATACATATTTGGGTATCTTTTGTGTGCCTTCGCTTGCTGACTTGCTCACTAATGAGAATAATCCGTGAAGCCACGACGACCTCAAAATGAACTATACTATAGTCTGATGTCAATCCGAAGACGAAGTTCAGAATACTGTTATAGTTTCGTATATTGGATTTAAGCCATAGATTCAAGTAATTTATGATAGACTTTTTTGCTGTGATGCTTTGCTATTGCTTTTGGTTTCCATTTCTAGTTTTATTTGTTCGATAGTCCTATAATATATAATATTAAAATGAACAAAGTTCAAATTCTTCAAAACGCTGTTGTTGACATTTGCTATTTTTAGTAATTTTGTCAACGAGTGTAAGCCAATCAGAAGCCTGCATTTCTATACGAACGCCACTACCAAGAAAACCTATAGTTCCGTGCAGGCCCTCTATTCTTCGCGCCGCCCGCAACCCAGGGCCTGTTCGCAGGCTACAATGTTATAAGATTTAATTTTGTTTTATATTTTGAAAACGTTGTTGTATAGTTTGAAAATGAAGTCAATAACCTTAGAGCGCTTATCTCTATTTGGCGGGATATAACCGATTTGCTTTTTACAGACGTTATATTTTCTAAGTCGTTCGCTGGCTTTTACTTCGTGTTTATATATATTTTTTTATTAAGTGCTGCTCTTCCTTTTCATTAAAGGAAATAAAACGTACGTTTGTTTGTGGTTTATTCAGTTTATTCAGTTTATTCGGACTCTCAACAACAATATATTTGATAAAAGCCATATAGTATAACCGTGGTACAACTGCATGAATATGTCGATACCGCTATTACATGTGGTGGCCAAATTTTATTTACCTGCCAAAAAGTAGCACTGATTGATTCAATAATCGCACAGGTGTGATTATCAGTTTTGTTACTTGTGGAACATTAAATATAAGACACTGTTTATTGTAACATAAATGTTTGTATTTTATGCTATATAGTTGGATGCTTTACCAAATGACCAAATAGTCGAAACAGATTTGAAATGCTCCTTAGAACCATACCTGTACGAGGCTGGACTGGATCCAGATGAGTTGCATTCTGGCAGGAAGATCGTCATTGACGGACTCATTATGTACCAGGTCATTGATAAAAGGAGACTTGAATTGGACGAATTAGCTAAAGGTACATTTTACATAATTTTTCTCGTGAATGACAATATAATATTTACACAGTCTGGCAATCCAAAAACTAAGTCGCCGTATTGAACATGCACGAACATGTATAAATATAGTTGCTTGCTTCAAGCAAGAACTATATGAATTTCGCCAAAAGCGAAAAAAATATATATACCGAATGTCCCAAAAAAAGTACTCCTGTTTGATTCTTAACAACTCTGAAGCGAGTGAAGCTATTACACTCAAATATATTTTATTGGATAGAGGAAAGGCTAACTTAGATTTTGCTATATTACAGTTGTATATTTATAAATAGGGATATTAGTGTTCAAATTTGATAGTATATTTCTGGATGTGTCAAAAATTTGCGAAAAACGGCGTATCAAATATTAACCAAGCGTTGCTGTTGCTCAACTTAAAGACGTATTATTATGAGTAAATTGATGAAACTTGATAAAATGTTTATTGTGAAACTAAGTATTATTCACAAAATACAAACAATATTTATTCGGCGTGTCATGTCGCTTCATGCAAAAACTTCTTGTGCGTTGCGCTATATAATTATTGTTCGTTTTGTCGGGGCAGGAGTTTTACCCCAGCGACCCGTCTTCTTACTTCTGCCGCGTTTTGGAATCTTGCATGCTCTAAGCAAATCCCAACTCTTTGATCCTCAGTTAATAATCTTGGCATACTCAAAACGAAACACAATTAAACCATATAACATAACAATATAACCTAACATGCAACTCCCCAGAGATATGCAACATTCTTGGAACACAATGTATCAAAAATATTAATAGCGCTGATACATGTATGCAGTAATATGGTTATAATAGTATTATTTAAATTTAACTACCATATTCATCCTATTCAAACTTAGAAACAGTCAACTTTGTTTTGTTCGTTTGAGAATACTCAAAATATGAATAAGCCGTTCAAGAAAATTTATTACTCCTTAATTAACCTGTTTTTGGGTATTTTTAAAAATCGATCAGAAACGGCATAAATTCAAACGTTATAGCTGTATCTCAGTAAATAATGAGCGAAAACATAATAATAAAAAACCCGAAAAAAATAGAATAGAATAAGTTAACATTGTTTCAGGAGTAGAAACGACATTAGTTTTTGCTTAAAGCTGGACAATGAAGTGGCTTCCACAAGATATGTTTTGGCAGAAAGAGTGCTGGACGTACTTACGTATGAAGATAAATAAGGATGCTTGTGAAGAAAACAAGACAACCGCCGAGTTTTTTGTTAGCTATATTAAGGAAGTAGAGCTCAGAAAAGTTGGTAAGAATTTAACTATGGAGTTATGTCCAGCAATGCATTATATATACTGTAGGCTTGCTCCAAGAAAAAGTTTCTTCTTTACATCAAGGTTTTCTTTTTTCCTGCTTTTTCAAGGTTGTGCCAGGTTGGTTGACCTAGTTAGTTTTTGGACTGCAGGAAGCACTATTGGATACAACGATGAGTTACTTATGGTAAAATTCAATGCAGATTGTAAGTTGCCAATGGCAGAAACCTGTTTCATGGGGATTGTACTCCCAACCAGACACACCAGTTACGACGATTTCCGGAAACATATGGATATCGCTCTGAGATACGGATCAAAAGGGTTCGATTTCATTTAAAACTTCCTTTCAGTCAGTCAAACAGAATGTCCTAGTACGCTGACATGTTATATATTTGAGTTTATTTTGTCGCCTATTTATGGACGAGGTTTGTTTTTAGTTGCATAAACTGCATTTATGGGTAACATGCCAAGGATTTGTTCATAGACTTGCATAGCCTAAAGATACGTCATACCATCTAATCGTGGCAATTCTCTCAGTTGTTCGTTGTTGAAAGGGCAATCCGTGTCTGGAACAGCGACGATATCCGGATCAATTTCGGGAATGGGTCCTGCCCAGTCAACTCCATAATAAGTAGAATCATTCTAACAAAAAAATTAACGTAACATGGGTGTAAGTTGTGATAAACATTAAATTGCATGAAATTTATTTGCCATATTTAAATGTAACGTCGGGAAATATTTACTACAAGTATAATATTTCCTGAAATCATAACCTTATTAATTAATATTGTTCAGAAAAATACAACTTGTGATAAACGGGATACCTTTGGCTCTTGCATTCGTTATAATTGGTTTTCCTCGTTGTTTTAACTTCCAATAATGTACAAGTATCGGAAATTGGGGAATATAAGGGGTCTTGCGAGAGAGGGAATATTAATCTATTTTTTAAATTTTTTTACCAGTGATCGTTTTCAGGCCCGCAACATAATATATATAGTGGCTACTCCCCTATTGCAATAAAAAGCGACACAATATTTTCTAGCAGTTATTCGACAGGGTCAGGGGCTATTGAATATAATTCCAATGATGTTAAGTGAATAGCTATATACACATTTCGCTGCGCCGCCTATGCCCTAATCCATATTCACCTGGAAATCTATATCTTCAGCGCGACCAGAGGTTCTTGCTTCTTGCAGACCTCTTATCCAGAGCTGTATTGGAGTTCTGTTGCTTTCTGAGCTTAGTGGGTGATTTATATATGCATGTCGCCAATTTTTAAGATGGTTGTTAACAATTGGCAAGAATACAAAATGAAGGCACCATAAGTGAGCATCCTCGTCAGGATCTAGTAAAAGTTGGTTTTCCAAATGATGAAACAAATCATAGAAAAAGCCAAGGCATCCACTGAAAACATCACGCCATAGCCTCTCTATTCTCTGATTGTGCGTACTTTTTCCTATTGTAAGAAAGAGTAGGTGTTTTTTAATAGTTTTCCAACAAAATTCCTGCAAATTGCGAAAAGCGTATCAATGCAAGTTACATTGTTACAGTATATTGAAATGTTTATGATTATCTTAGATTTTATAACTTTAATATGCGGGAACAGTTGAAGACATTTAATTTAAAAACATATTGTGAAGGCAGTTGCACGTTGCAGCGGTTTGTTGCTGCTGTTATTTTATTTAAGAGATCTGATTACCATTCCGCATTTGAATGACGAAATAGCAAATATATACTGTATGACGACTTGTTCTGTTCCACAAATAAAAATACTGTTAACGACTAATATGGCGTTAGTTCGAGTTAAATAACAAAATTGGGCGCACTAGGGCGCATAGCGCGTTAATGCGTATGACAAAACATCACCTGTAATCATACTTCCTCTCCCAGGACCTCGTTGAACATGGTTGAGCATGTAAGCTGAAACATCGACATTCTCTCCACCTTTATCTGACCTAACTCGTGATGGTAATCCATACTCAGCAACAGCTTCTTGAAAACAATGAAGGACTGTTTCTGCTTTGTTGTTGTTTGACGCTTTGAGATATACAGGAAGGCGAGAGTACCCATCAATTCCACCATGGACAACAATTCTCCATCTATTGCCATCAATATATTTGATGTTTTAACAAGAGAGTTCATGCAGTTGTAAATAACTTTACTACAATAAATTATTTGGCAATTGGCACGATAATTAAGCGTACCAGGCAAACCAAATGTTCTAATGCTAAACAATAGTCATATGAGAGTAATTACTTTAATATGTTTACTCATTTTTTTTAGTTACATTCATGTAGATTTTATGAGCTTATTGACATTATGGTAATGTCCTTGTGTGCCATACTTTGTTAATTTACTTTCTCTAATGCCAGATTGTTATTTTGCTTTCTCTAATGCCAGACAAGTTTCCTCGTTGAGAGAAGGTCTTGTTCATAACTAGTGTTTAAATACAGTAGTAATGTTGATATTAGTACTCTATTTCACCTGATTAACTTGTGATTCCCATCAATGTGCCACAACGATAGCGGATACTTCACTCGGTACTCTCGTCGTTTGATTGTTCTTGTCCATCTCTCCATCAAACCAATAGGATCCGTGCGTAGCAATGACTGCCGTACTCTTTTCCATTGAACTCTAATCCCCTTTCTTTGCAGGTAGCCCTTAACCATTCTAATTCCCCACTGTGGGTGCTGACCAGTAGCAGTGACCACAAGTTCATCTAGCTGCATGTCATCAATACCACTGTACATGCCTTGCAAATTATAGTTAAATACACCTTTCATCAATAAGCTTAAGTCCAGCCAATTCTTTGTTTGCAATCATGTGACTTTTCATCCAAATGACGGGCAATCAGACAATTTTTCAGCTACCATAATGGATGTAGCAAGAACTGAACCGCAATTCCTCTTTTGAGGCTTAAACTGTTTCTAAACTCTATCAATACATTAAAATAGCCGGCTTTTTGTTAAAACTGCCCGTCAACTGAAATCGAAAAATTACGTCATTGCAAAAAAAAGAATAAGTCAGTGAACTAATTATATAACACTTTCATATTATTCCAACACTACAATACACCAACGAAAGATTTGTTGGCTCGAGCAGGATTTGAACTTGCATATTCGGGTATCTAGACCGCTGCTCTACCATAGATATCTTATATACACTAGATAGTGCATCTAATTATAATGCAATTCATGATTGCAGTCTCAGGTCGTTCTCATGAAATGAGAAGATTTGTATGTTTTCTATTTCTTAATCAGGGAACTTAAACATTAAGTTAACCCTATTCCAAATACGTTTTTAAACTATTCAAATGTTGAAAGTTATTGTTGTTTTTAACCGTTTATTAGCAAGTGGGAACGACCAATATTGCTGCTATCTATTCAAATGGGGGTAACCGCTGGAATATTATTGGCTTCAATTTTACTAAAAGATATGCGCTATCTAGTGTATATAAGATATCTATGTGCTCTACCCATTGAACTATCGAGTCAACAGGGATTGGTAGCGAGTCTTTTCCAATTTAAGTGCATGAAATAGTTTTGTCACAAAAATATGTCTTAAGACAAGCGTTAAGTAGTCACGACGACAATATTTCGTGCACTTCAAACTCGTTCCCCTAGCTTGCGATCCTCTGGAAGGAACGTGAGGCTCTGGGATAATCCGTTTCAGGGAGGAATCTGAACTGATTGTCAAGACGAAGGGCCTTCGCTCGAAACGTCGAGTTTCTGCTTATTTTTTTAAGGTAGTAATATAACCACTCAGCACAGCATTTTCAAATTGGTACTACCAACACTGGTACAGACAGTTTTAGAGTGGGGTGTGTAAAAAGGGAGGGGTGTAAAAAAGGCATTGGAAAATCCATTGGGAGGGGTGAAAAAGACTGCAGAAATCCAGGGTGTGGTCTGCGATTAAAGCCATTTTCCAGCGGTATCTAGTAAGGAATTCATAGGATATTCCAGGGAGGAGGTATGTAAACTGAATTCCAGGGGGTCACAATGGACCATTCCCCAATTAACCAAAATATTGAACTCAACAAGTCTAGACAAAAATTTCATAACAGCTTGAAAGAGCATCACAAAATTAGTAATATTCCAAAGTTTCGTTGCAAAATGTTGTAAAATGCGGATAATATAGCCTTGCGAAATTTGCAATTTTCAGTCATTTTAGATTACAAACGGGAAATGGTTATCGCTTCTTTGTGTAATACAAAATGACTGAAAATTACAAACTTCGCAAGGCTATATTATCCACATTTTACAACATTTTGCAATGAAACATTAAAATATTACTAATTTTCTGATGCTCTTTCAAGCTGTGATTAAACTTTTGTTCAGGCTAATTAAGATCAAAATTTTGGAAAAGTGGTAACCATTTCCCGTTTGTAATCTAAAATGACTGAAAATTGCACATTTCCGAAGGCTATATTATCCGCATTTTACAACATTTCGCAACAAAACTTTAGAATATTACTAATTTTGTGATGCTCTTTCATGCCATGATGGAATTTTGTCTAGACTTGTTGAGATCAAAATTTTGGTTAATTGGGGAATGGTCCATTTAGTTGGTAAAAATTCAACCTACCAATCGCCTGAAGATGCTAGGCGTAAAAAAAATACCTGTGGTTCCGACCCTATTTTTTTTCTGCCGACCCTATTAATTTTCCAACACGATTGACCATGCGACCCTATTTTCTCTGGGTGGTTGCGGGCTGCTGCCAAAATGGCGTCTGTTGTCACAATGGTTGTCACACATTGAACTATTAAAAAACAACATTTTTAGTTCAATGTTGTCACACTATTAAATTATTGAAAAAAATATTCAAAAAATTTCCGACCTACCGACCCTAGTTTTTTCGTGATATGACCGGAACCACAGGTATTTTTACGCCCTACAACCGCTTCGTTTTAAGTATATGGCATAAATGGCTGTTTACCTGTCACACTTAACCCGAAACCAGACATTCGCCTTTCAACTGTACGAGAACTCACGCCAAGAATGTTACTAATGTCTCTTACTTGAAATCCTTTCTCGAGCAAAAAGGACAGCTGTTCCTCGCTTATGTCATAGGATGGTCGCCCTCGTTGTCCTTCTCTATGCAACAATGCTCCATATCTGTCACGATTGAAATTGTTGTTTTCTATTTGAACGAGCAGTCTGTAAGCCCTCCCAATCGATGTGATGATGTCTTCCTCCATGTTTAGGTTAACTGCTAATCTCTGAACATAATCCAATTTTAAAATAACACGTTGCAAATCTGTTGAAGGATCGCCGGAATTTTCGTATACCTCTATTGCATTAATAACATCAAATAATGCTTCACTCAAATAAACAGCATTTTCCATATTATTTTTATTACATCAAGAATATAGTTTGAAAAAGAATCAGTTTGGATTTTTGTTTATATAAATGGTTGATAGAAAACCACGACCAATTATCTGAGCCGGCGTTACGTCGTTTAAATTGGATTGCAGTTGGATGTTCAAAAAAGTTGAATGTTGAATTGTGTGAAAAGTTGAATGTTGAATTGTGTGAAAAGTTGAATGTTGAATTGTGTGAAAAGTTGAATGTTGAATTGTGTGAAAAGTTGAATGTTGAACTGCGTAAAAAGTTGAATGTTGAATTGTGTGAAAAGTTAAATGTTGAATTGTGTGAAAGGTTGAATGTTGAATTGTGTGAAAAGTTGAATGTTGAATTGTGTGAAAAGTTGAACGTTGAATTGTGTGAAAAGTTGAATGTTGAACTGCGTAAAAAAGTTGAATGTTGAATTGTGTGAAAAGTTGAATGTTCAATTGTGAAAAGTTGAATGTTGTATTAAGAATTGAACAAAATACACAAACTAGGATCACAAATAGAAAACTTGAATTTTGGCGGAAATATGACGTCATATTTACCTGCATCATTTACAATATTTCATTTTTGTGATCTGCCAGTAAAACACTGTATTTGGTTCTTAATTTTAAACAATTTGCAGATAAAAGCCCAATTCAAAATCACAGTGATGCATGACATCTACAGTACTTTAAACAACTAAGTGAATGCATATTCTGGACAATTTGCTGATAATATGGTGACTGGTGATAATATTGGATAATATAGGAAGATCAGAATAGGCAAGTATCAGGGCAATACAACTACCAGACAAAAGTTTTAGTGGTGATGACATAAGTAGATTTTATGTGAACGAAGATCTAACCAGTCAAAATCACCCAACTTCTTTTTGCGGTGAAGAAAGATTGCAATAATGTTGTGTCTTCATGGTCAAAAGACGGCAAAATTTTTGTCAAGAGAGCGTCTGATGATAACATCTTTACAATTACATCCAAGGATGATCTTTGTGAACAATCTATCTGATTTTGCATTTTAATACTGGCGGCAAAAGTGCCGACACCTTCTCAAAAGTGCTTACATCCTTCCCATATAATGTCCCATAATCTCCCTATTATTCTTCATTTGTGTGTTTTTTGTTGTTTCTTTGTCATAGTGCAGCATGAGGTAAGTTTTTATTTTAATCCTGATTGGTCCCATGGGGAGTTAGTTTGGATGTTTACAGAGCAGCATTCGGGGAGTTTAACATTTTTAAGATGTCTATCGTTATTTGTGCTTCCTTTGTGGATGTTTTTGTGTTTGTTGCTAGCTATTTTCTCATAATGTTGTACATTGCATGCATATTGATTGATTTATCAACTAAATCCAGGCCCATCCAAATTTTTTAGTATTGATCAATTAATGTTAAAAGTTTGAATGTTCATGAGAAATTTGAAGAAATTTCCTTTTTAATTAAAGATAGTAATTTTGATATTTTTGCCTTGACTGAAACGTGGCTCAATGAACACATTTCTAGTGATTCGTTTGCTATGACGACAACAAGAATCATTTGGGATAATTGTACTACTGGGAATAACGATTTACTGGAAAGTATTCAATATGAGTCAGCAAAATTAGTTACTAGGGCTATTGCAGGAACTAGTTCAAAACGTCTTCTTGAAGAACTTGCTTGGGAGGAGTGGAATATCAGAACAAAAGTTCATAAGTTATCTCTTTTTTATAAAATAGTTAATAATTGTGCTTCTACCTACTTGGTTGAACTTTTACCAAAGTTAATTAATGTTAGATCTGGTATTCCTTCACGAACTGGTAATAATATTTGTCAATATCAATGTAGAACTGAAAAATTCAAATTTAGCTTTCTGCGATTTCTTTATGGAACTCTCTCGATATTGATATTAGAAATTCGACTTCACTTGTAAATTTTAAACACAAAGTAAATAAACTGTATCGGCCGCTATGTTATGATAAATGGCTTGATTTTTCTCTTACGAGGAGGGCCTCAGTTCTGCATACGCATTTACGATTAGGTTTCTGTGCACTAAATGATTACTTGTACAAAATTAATTTTGTAATTCGATCTCTGTTATGTATTTGTGGCCTGGAATGTGAAACTGTTAAGCATTATTTCTTATTATGTCCCCGTTTTGCTGCTTAACTTAACACTTTGCTCACCTCTGCTCCACAAGTCTGCGGCCAAGCATGGCTAGCAAGAAGTGACAATGTGAAACTTGATTATATGTTGAAAGGATCCAATCAATTAAGTTATGATGAAAATTGTTCACTGTTTGGTTTTGTCCAACAATTTGTTCTGGATACTTGCCAGTTTTGCTAGCCTTTGCTTTGTCACTATATGTATATATGTTTGTTTTTTTGTCGTTACCCTTATTAGTTCTATGTGTTATCTTTCCTAATTTGTGATTTTTTTCTTTCTTTTTTTAAAAAAAACTAATGTAGGCTATCCTTTGTAATAAGTGAGCCCCCTTGTTAAGCCTTGGCTTTTGGGACAAACATCCAAATAAAGTTTATATAAAAAAAATAAATAAAAAAAATTAAACAAGCTGGTTTTAGTCTAATTAGGCATGCTTGTCAAAATATGTCACATTTATTCTTGTTAAACAAACAATATAATAATATATTTGATAATTATATATTACATTCTGCTTATGAATGCAGGTGACAAGCTGATTTGTAATTTAAACTACTGTTTGATGTAGTCATGTCTAAAATGTATGAGCTTTGTAATTAAAGTAACTTCCAGACGGCTTGCTTCAGAGTTGTCTCTTCGTTATCTTCCAACTCTTTACTCTTGATGATGGTTTTGTAACCAGGATTAGCATGTTTGTCGGGTTTCCAAGCATTGATTGGAGGACCATGAATCAAACTAAAGACAATTACACAAATGAGTGATTGCAAACAATGTACAATACATTAAACAAGAAAACACTTACATCTTTGCTAGTACCATCTCCTTTGAATGAGATAAACTTATGCATAAGTAATATAATTGCAACTCCAAGATAAATGTAGCAACCCTGTTATAAACTGCAATATATCCTTCGATATGTTCAATATAACCTTAACTAAATTGTGCTGTCCGTTTTATATTTGTAGGCAATGAGTAGTCATGTGTTACGTGAGTAATTAAAAGTTAGCATCACACTATTGCTTAATTAATTCACATTATCCATCCTTATTGGGAGGCAAGACCTTACAGTATATGTATGCCTATAAAAACACATGTAACAAAACATTACAATTTTAAGCTGACATATACTCTTCCTTATTTATATTACTTTCATTCTCCCATTCATTTGGATTAAAGGGGAAGTCAGAGTTCAGAACAACTTCGGCTGATATGAAAGATAAAAAAAATGCAAAGTCTCATGCAAAGTCACACATCTCCAAGTTATAACCAAGTCGAGAAATAATGCAATAAATGTGCTAAAATTTACAAATAACGCAGCCGCCATTTTGTACATCAAAGCTGCAAACTGCAGTTTTACCTTGTGACATCATTACACAGTTTCGCAGGAACACATTGCAATGCCATTGGCCTTGTAATGCCATTGTATGCAATAAAGTATTGTGTTGGAACTGAAGACAAAACCACAAGCATTGGACAAAAAGTTTTGTTATAAATGTAATGGCCCTAAAAGGGAGGTTGGTCGAGCCGGGTGCTGCACTGGAATCGCAGGGCCGTAGGTTCAATTCCTACCAGAGGACCTTGTGCTGCATTTTTCGCAGTTGTTCCTGGTTAGGTCTTGAAATGTATATATTCTCACTTGGATTACAAACCCTTTCATTAATATTTCCCTGTTTACATCGCAAACCAGAACATGAATTAAGATATAAAAGGGCACAAATCAGAGAGAAAATTGCAAAAGACAAGGTAATTTCTGTTACTATTGAAGTGTATTTTTCTGTGTGAACAGACTAGATTATGAAATCTGTAAAGGTTATGGTAGGGGGATTACTAATTTTATAATTACTGTACATTTGCAAAAGCTTTACTTTTTCAAGTCGGTTTGACACGGGGTGTGGTCCAAGTGGGGCTCTATAGAATAGGGTTATAGCTTAATATGAAATCTTCACTAACTTATTAAGCGGCAAGCTGTTACAATGTTTCTACTCCCCTATTAGGGGAGCGGCAAGCAATATGGAGAATTTGTGATTGAATTCAACAACTTTCACCAATGGCAATATCTGATAAACAGTTGCATAAAAAAATCTAATCTTTTCAACCAAACATTAATGATATATGATTGACCAAATTTAGTTTAAATGACCTTGCGTAACCTTTATATATCATTAGTTTTTTCAATGAGAATTTTTATTTGTAAAGCAGTGACTTTGTTTTTCATGTCACCCATTACCTAAAAGGGCAACATCTCCATAAATTTATATAAAAAACAAAAAAAAAAATTCATTTACTAAATTAGTACATATCTATATTATAACCAATTTTCATCTTTTGGGATATGAATTAGAAAATGATCAAAAATTATAAAATATACTCCTTTGCTTTTTTTGGGCAAGATGTGTACAACATGAAATTTAAGAACAGTAACTAAGTGTTCAAATTCAACAATGTGTGCAAGCCAAAACAAGCACTGGCTTGTACATTTTTCAAGTTTTTAATTACCTCAAATATATTTAAAAGGACATATGGTACTAGAATTTATTTATTTTCAATATAAACCAAGGATGCCAAAGAGGCAAGCTCCCTCAGTTCTTCTATGAAAAGTTATCCCCCCAAGCAGTACACTTACTCTGCAAACAAAAAACCTGCCTTGAAAAATAAGCAGGATTTTTGGCAGGGCCAGCGCAAGAACAAACAAAAGAAAAAGCCTGGAGGGGAGGGGGCGAGAGAATAAGTGACAAAATATACCTGTTATTCTTACATATTTACATAATTTATGCACTAGCTTTAAGTTAATTCTGCAGTTTTGCATTGTGCACTTTTACTGTGCACATCTTATAACTTATAATTTCATCCATTATACGTACCATTTAA